TTCCAAAACTAGGACTTAACTAGATTGCTTTTCACTAGCTGGTGGCTGCTGTAGAACCAACACTTCTAGACCTAAATGCTGTTCATTTCTTCTCCTCAGATTTGGTGTTCTGTTAAAGGCAGCCTTGCAGAATAACCATGAATCAAGCCCTACTATTCAATAGGCAAAAATCATGGGAGGCTTCCTAGAATGATGGATGACCCATAAACCCACACTTACATTCCAACCTAATGCCTACTCACAGGCACGTATCCATTATTCAAGCCCTTTGCTTCCTTGGACTTGAGGGTGCATTGGAAAGAAGTAACAGATAAATAGACAAATCATTCAGCATACACCAGCAAACAGCAGTTTCCCCTATTTGATTCACCAACTGTCAGATTAACAACCTTCATTTTCCCTCAAGCCAGGCACGGAGAGGACATTTTTCTTCAGAAAGGGCAAATCCTAAATTCCTTGAACACCCTAACCTGTTACCAGTGAGTAGGCATTAGCTGTCTTAGGTCTGTGCTCTGTAAGAATAGAAAGAGGCTGAATGAGATTGCTTTTAGGAACAGCAGAAACTAATGTCCCTGCTTTTTGAATCAGAAATAAATTCAACACCTTTACAGATGGGTAAAGAAAACTCCCAAATCATCTGAGACACAAATGTTAGAATAAAATGCTGTCTGCTGGGACTTCCTAATGAGATACAAACCTGGCAGAGAGTGCCTGCACCAATTCCAAAGGGCAGCAGACATCCATGTTTCTGAGCACGTTCTCTTCAGGCCCAAAGCAAAGAGCACAGTGCAGCAACAGGGTGATGCCACATCATCTGTGAAGCTGCTCAAACAAGAGGGGCAGACTGGAAGCAGCAGCCAAAATCCTCCTCAACACAAAAAAAAAGGGAAGATCTCACTGAGCAGACAGACAGAATGTTCCAGGCAATAAATTTATAAAGACTACCAAGGAATCAGCCGGGAAAGGGCAGAAGATTCCCAAAGAGGCATTCCAAAGTCAGATGCCAGTAAAGTAGATGATTCTCATCATGACACAGCAAGAACCAAATTACTGAAGAGGATTTTATTTTTTTTCCTACCTGACAGAATTTCTATTATTTCTATTATTCAAAAACTGCAGCATGATATGAATCCAAATATTCAACAGTGTGTGTCAAAGTTTAAATGCAAATTTAAAAAATAATCAAGTCTTTATAACATTGCCAAATAAGAATAAAAACAAACAACAACCCAGCCAGAAAGTAATTTAAGCCAATATTTTCATACTCTTATACCCATATCTTACAAAAAAAAAAACAACAACTTATCAGCATGCTACAAAATATCCCAAGGTACTTTTTAAGATTTTTTTTCCATTAGTTTTATGATGATATCTAGACTTTTGACAACTTAAAGATTTGGTGTGAAATAAACAGTGCTGTTTGTACCAAGACATTAGTTCCTGACTTTCAGATAAAATGCAGCACTTGGCATCACATTTTCTACAAGGAAAAGCTCATGTAGGGTACTTATTTACAACGTTGTGTTTTAGTGAATGTCTTTTTGCTTGTGTTTGAGTTTGTGTGGGCAAAAGCATGAAATCAGCACTTACCCATATCTGTAATAAAATGTATTGATTTAGGTGTCATTCAAATGAGCCTGTAGGTCTTTGTGAAGGGTAAAGACAAGACAACAAGTGGCAACACAAAAGAAAAGACCAGTTGGACAACGTAAATTTAATGGCAATAAAATAAATTCTCTAAGGTCCTTTTCTTTCACTCTTCTACAAGCTTATGTTTTTGTTCCACAAGCAATATTTAAACAGGCTAATATTTGCTCTCAGAGTGTATGTTCAGTCACAAAAGAAAGAAGTCCCCTGAGCTGGTGATTCCCACAGCATAAGGGAATATACAAGCTATAAGAGTGGTAGCTTCCAAATACATCTTAGCACTTCAACCAAAATTGTCACCTATTTCTCTCATCAAATCTTTATTTCTTATTAAAAAGAGCCTAGTAACTCAAAATAATCCTTTCTAGTGATACAGTCCCCTTTCTGCCTTGAGTCTCCCTATTTCTTATGCCTGAACTGCTCCTTACACAGAATTTTGCCCCTTCACACTGAATTTACTGGGATGTTCCATGGAAGGTTTTCTTTTTTCCATTTAGGTGAAATGGTCCATACCAAAACTGTCAAACTTTTTCTGCCTCCTTTCCCTGCTACAATCATTCTCTATATCTCTGACTTTACGTTTTTGAAAGAGTACACCAAAATATTTTAAAAGAAAACAGTAAAAAAAACTCAAAGCAGACAACATCTCTGCCTATTTAGTGTTCCAGGACGTTTATCAGGAGCTAGACACAGAGAGATGTTTGCCTAAAAACTTTAAAGAAAAGAAATAGGATTTCTAGAATATAAACTACATTAGATGCTGGTTTCCTTGTCAAATATGCCAAAAATGCACATTTTATTTCCATTTAACACTTAAGTTTAGAAGAGACACTTCATGAGATAGTGATTCTGTAGTAGTGGAGTATCTTAATCTGCTTCACTTTAATAAAAAAAAAACAATTTAACAGCATCCTCAAACTTGCTTTGATTGAAGAAATTAAATCAAGTCGCTGACCCTTCCCAGCATTTTGCTGGTTTCTAGACCAGTCTACCTGGATATTATGTAGATAAACTGATTTTTGGAAGTTTTCTATGGATAAGGTGTAAAGTCTTAAAACTATGGTGTTCACATGACAGGCAAAGTTACGAAAAACTTAAACTCCCAAGCTTCTGGCAGAAAAAAACTATCAAAATACTTATACGTGCTTTCTCATGTAGTCTTCTCCTGTAAAAATTTTTTCTTGATTACCTTGGAAATTTGAGCTGAGCTCCCTGGAATTTATGATGTATTGAATGCAGTTCCAATATCATCTTTCTTCTGAGTCTTATCTCAATGTTTTTTGCAGATCAGAAACAAATCTGTCACTGCTTCAAACTCTGGAAATCAGGGCAACAGGAAGACACAGCAATTTTGAAGTGATGATCTGTGTCACTACTGCTTTATACAGTTTTTACACATGAGTGAACTGAGGCACACACTGAGCACTGAAACTTAGTGAGCACAACAAATTTGGGTACAGAGAGTATGACTTCAGCTACTTTTCAACACAAAATCCACTAAAAATTACCTTGACATACATATTCCTCTGTAGCACAAGCTTTGACAGATTCCAGATGCCCTTATGAATGAAAATGGCATATGGAGTCAACCTGCATTGGCAGAGAAATAAATTTAAATTGCTGTCCAGTATTACCAGAATATATGAGAATATTTTTACCACATCTACTATAGCTCATGATCCTGTTACCTTTCATCTGTCATATCTAAAATCCTTTTACTCTAAACCCCAAAGTTCTCCCTCATTAGGCACCATTCCATTTACATAGATAAAAGCTAACTGATCAACCAAAACCTGTCTAAATCCATGGATGGCAGACTTGTTACAAGTTAATTCCCAGATAACCTGAACCCTGAACCTAGCCCTATACAATCAGCCTCACAGATTGACACTAACTCTGAAAAAGTGAATACACACACCTCACTGCTCTTCCTACATTTATTTAGTACAAATTGATGTCACAACCTGTATCTCGAGTGTCTCCTCTCATGAATTATTCCCCTTCATTAACTCCACACATTTCATCCTAAGCAACACCAGTCAGAAGAAGCAGCCTTATTGAAACCCTCTTGAATGATAGCTCCTCACAGTCTCTTTGTCATCACTGAGCCAACGTATGACCTAAGCAATAAACACGGAATTTATAATGGTTTTCTTTAATGGTCAGATGGAGAAACAGAAAATGGCACAGCCTACTTACTGTTACTGTCACATTGCCATTAAAGCTTTATATTCCTGTGCTTTAGCCTTCTGGGTATCTCCTGAAGCAAGTATAAAATAATTTCTCACCTCCACAGGCCTTTAAGACAATGATGCCACCAATTCTTCAACTACTGCTTGAGAAGTCCATTGTTCTGAAGACATTCATGGGATCATCAAGGCTGGAAAACACCTTCAAGACCATCCAGCCCAACCATCAGCCCAGCACCACCACCACTGTAACCCCTAAACTACATCACCTGGTGCCACATCCAGGCACCTGCTCAACACGTTATAGAACTAAAAAAACAAAAAAAAAACAAAAAAACAAACTCTCAAACAAACAAACAGAAAGAGTAACAGACTTTTGAGTGACAATTCTAGTGACTAAAAGACTGTGTTGGGTTTTTCCCGTTAAATGAAACAGCAGATTTGCGAGGATTTTGTTTTATTTAAAACAAATAACAGCTTCAGCAGTGCTGATTTTGGGGCCGGGAGGGGGGAGCGTGTGTGAAATACTGTCTGTGGGACCTGGGGATATGAGAGATAAAATACAATTTTTATATACATAGGTGCATCGTGAAGTTGCAAGATATCCAAGTTCCAAATGGAACTGGGTGTCAGGGTCTTTTTCGGCCGGATAAGAGAAATATAAAAGTTCTTAAAAATTAAAATCTTTCAAGGCCATGTGGAAGTTTTGTACACAGGGGTTTCTTCTCTCTCTTTGGGCTAAGAACAAAGGAAGATCCATTGTTTTTGACAGAGGACACCTTGCAGCCAATCAGAAGAAAGGGAATGTCCCTTTTCAGAGAAAAGAAACCTTTTTAGGCAAAAATGAATATATTAAACTTATCTGAATAAGGGTGGAACTACAAAATGTGTGGTATTTAAATCCAAAGGGTCTTTCTCCCCTAAAAACTCGGTGTGAGACTAGACCCGGCACGCTGAATAAATTCTTTAGTTTCATGACTTTATGCCATCTTTCTAAATTTAAAAGAGGAATTTTTCCCACAGGGCGAACACCGGTCATTCCCGAGGAAGGCATGGAGATCACTGCTGGAGAGGGCACGGGTCATTCCCGGGGAAGGCAGAGGTCACTCTCGGGGATGGCAGAGGTCATTCCCAGGGAGGGCACGGGTCGTTCCCGGCGAAGGCATGGAGATCACTGCTGGGGAAGGCACAGGTCATTCCCAGGGAAGGCATGGAGATCACTGCTGGGGAAGGCACAGGTCATTCCCGGGGAAGGCACAGGTCACTGCGGGGGAAGGCAGAGATCGCTCCCGGGGAGGGCACGGGTCATTCCCGGGGAAGGCACGGGTCATTCCCGGGGAAGGCAGAGGTCATTCCTGGGGAAGGCAGAGGTCATTCCCGGAGAGGGCACGGGTCATTCCCGGGGAGGGCACGGGTCATTCCCGGGGAGGGCACGGGTCATTCCCGGGGAAGGCAGAGGTCACTCCCGGGGAAGGCAGAGGTCACTCCCGGGGAAGGCAGAGGTCATTCCCGGGGAAGGCAGGTCATTCCCGGGGAGGCAGGCGCGGGTCATTCCCGAGGCAGGGCACGGGTCACTTCACGGGTCGGGGAAGGCAGAGGTCACTCCCGGGGAAGGCAGAGGTCGTTCCCGGGGAGGGCACGGGTCATTCCCGGGGAAGGCAGAGGTCACTCCCGGGGAAGGCAGAGGTCGTTCCCGGGGAAGGCAGAGGTCACTCCCGGGGAAGGCAGAGGTCACTCCCGGGGAAGGCAGAGGTCACTCCCGGGGAAGGCACAGGTCGTTCCCGGGGAAGGCACAGGTCGTTCCCGGGGAAGGCAGAGGTCACTCCCGGGGAAGGCACAGGTCGTTCCCGGGGAAGGCACAGGTCGTTCCCGGGGAAGGCAGAGGTCACTCCCGGGGAAGGCAGAGGTCACTCCCGGGGAAGGCAGAGGTCACTCCCGGGGAAGGCAGAGGTCACTCCCGGGGAAGGCAGAGCTCATTCCCGAGGAGGGCACGGGTCACTCCCGGGGAAGGCAGAGCTCATTCCCGAGGAGGGCACGGGTCATTCCCGGGGAAGGCAGAGGTCACTCCCGGGGAAGGCAGAGCTCATTCCCGAGGAGGGCACGCATCCTTCCCCCCCCACCGCCCTCCCTCCCGCCTCTCCTCCGCCCCGACAGGGGCCGCTGCCGCCGCCGCCCGCCCGGAAGCGCCGCCATGCTGAGGGAGGGCGGTTCATGGTCGCCGCCAGCGGGGCACGGAGCCCGGGGACGGGGAGCGGGACGGCGGGACCGGACCCACGGACAGGTACCGGGGCCGCCCGGGGGGAGCAGCGGGAGGGCCGGGCCGGGGCGGTGCCGTGCGAGGCCCCGCGGGGCGGCCGGGCCCCGCTTTCCCTGGGGCTGCTCGTACCGCCCGTGTAACCCCCCCTTTTCTCCCCATCCCACGTTTCCGCCGGCAGCAGGAACCCGGGAGGCCCGTGCTGGATCCCTGCCGAGCACGGGCGCTCCGCTCCCTCTGCCCCGGGCGGCCGCGGTCGGTGCCGTGAGCGCCGATTATCGACTCCACAGGTGCGAACGCAAACCTTCGTCTTAGCAGTGCGGGTCGGGTTCTTTTGTTTGTTTGTTTGTTTGTTTTGTTTTGCTTTGCTTTAAGCTCCTTCCTGTTTCCACCAAGGAACAGCAGCTGCGTGCCCCTCCCAAGGGCGGGGAAATGCGGTGAGGCTTCCACCAGGAATTCCTGCGGGCGAAGCGGATGAGAGGCGTAACTTTACATCCCCCAGCACGGTGTCATTCGAGCAAACCGATGGGCCCGGTGTGCCCTCCCTCAGTTCAGTACAGGGCTCGTCACGCAGTGCAGTCAGCTGTCACCGCAGGTGCCTGCCCAGGGTAGCATTGCAACAGCTATTTTTGGGGGGGATTTTTCCTTGGGAGACTAGTTGGGTTTCTTAACAAGGACGTCTTCCGAAAGTTCTGACTTATAATGCGTCCGGGAATTTTGAAATTCGGGTCATCGCTTCTGTGTTGGCCTCGTGTGTTTCAGCCACGCACGCAAACCCCGCCTCGCACGGCGGGAATCAGTCAAAAGTACATGTTAGCACCTGAGGTGAGTTTGGTGCATACCCTGTAGGTTTGATAGCTGGTCTTTTATAAAAAGATTTAAAAAAAAAATCATACCAAGTCAGTGCTGCAGTAAAAGTGTATAAATAGGCAAGGGCACTGGAACTTTTATGTAGTAAAACTTAGTGCTCAGCAGACACTGAAAATAAGAATTTTTCTAATTTGATTGACGTCTACTCTTTACTTCTTATTTGTATTAGTCAGTGCAGATCTGAAAAGCTCGAAACTTCAGGAGTTAGCTCAGCATACAGAAATTGGAGTGAAGAAATGCTCAGATAGCCTGGTAATTTAGGACTGGATTAGTTCTAGCTCTGAAAATAAAAGATTTAGGTTTTGACCTGAGAAATTAGTGTTAGGTATTAGAATACTTAAGTCTTTGTACTTTCAGATCACTTGCAAAAAAAACAGAACCAAGTTTTCATTGCTTTCAGAATGAAACACTCCCTTTTCTGCAGACTCACAGGTTTATAACAATGTGCCTCTACACTTGGAGCTCCTTGTGCCTCTATTATCATTGCTTTAATTTAAATGTGAAAGGTGGAGCATTCTTAACAATGGGCTGAGAAAACTTATTTAAAAATAATTGCTTGGTTATACTCAGTTCTGTCTCAAATTAGATATAAAATTACACTTCAAGACAAGTTTACTAGCCTGAGTAGAACCCAGCATATCATTTATATTTGCATCAGCTAAGTCAGTAGACAATACCATGTCCTATACAAGACTTTTAAATTACTGCCCATGCCGTTTAATGTATGGAAATGTGTTGTGTGATTTCCTCAGACATACACATCTGTTTGAAAAAAACTGAAGTATTAAAATCCAAAGTGGATTTCTGCTCCGAAAACCAGTGGCTTCTCAGATTAATTTTAAAAATCATATGAACTTACTGTTCTCTTTCAAACTCTTGCACTGCTGTGTTCATGTTTCTGTATATTGGCTAAACTTACACATTTCGTGTCATTAGATTGTGCCTGATGCTATTTGCTTTCATTTTATTGAAAGTAGCATCTCAGGACTCTTGTCCATTAGACAACTGGCTGATACTTTGATTGATTAAAAGGCCATATTACCCTGTTCAGTGGTTAGAACAAATGTGTCTGTTGTGGCTTAACCCCAGCTGGCAACTAAACACCACACTCCCCCCACAGTAGGGGGAGGATCAGAAGGGTAAAAGTGACAAAGTTGTGGGTTGACATAAAAACAGCTCAATAATTAAAAGAAATTTTTAAAAAAAAAATGGTTTAAGGGAAATAAAAGGAAAACCAAAAGAGAGCAGAAAGTAAAACCCGAGAAAAACCAAGCAATGCAAGTGGAAACAATTGCTCACCTCCAGTTGAGCAATGCTCAGCCATTCCCAGAGCAGCAACCCCTCCCCACCAACCTCCACTTCACTGCAGAGCACAAGGCCATGTGGTCTGGAACGTCACTTGGGATCAGCTGTCCTGGTTCTGGTCCCTCCCAACTTCTTGTGCCCCCTACCAGCCCCTCACTAGTGGGGTGGGAGGCAGAAAATGTGGTGACACTGTAAGCACTGCTCAGCATTAGCTAAAATATCACCAGGTTATCAGCACTGTTGTGGTCACAAATCCAAAACACAGCCCCATACCATATACTGTGAAGAATTACACTCTATCCCAGACAAACCCAGTACATTGCTTTTTTGTTTGTCTGTTTTTTCCCTTTTGCAGAGTAGTGTGTGGGTGAACATGAACATCCCAGTTAGGCTGAACTCATTGTACTTAGGGTTCCTGGAGGATTTGAGAGCACATGATTCCTTTCTTTCGGTAGAAATTTGTTCTCTATGTTGCAGTAGAAAAGAATGTAAGGTGGGTTCAGGCTCTTATGTGTTAGGGCTGGTATTGGATTAGCAACAGACTTTGGCCTGGGTGTGAGACCAGTCTGCAACAGCTCACTTCGTGTTTTGTGCCTGAATTAGTGTTTAAATAACTGCCCAGTATTTACATCAGACACACACAGCACGCAGCTGCAGGGAGCTGCACACAATGGCCACAAAAACTGCACGCATCTAGAACCACCAATCTTTGTGCCCACCCCAGACTGGTTCTTGAAGAGGCTCAGGTTGATTCAGTGTGTTGACTTGCACCTGGTACACAGGGGAGGAACACACAGGAGAGCACTGCCGGATGGGAATTGCTGACTGACATCAGCCAGCCTGTGCAGCCTACCTTCAGCAGCCTTTTTTCCCCCCTTAGAAACTACCAGGATTGTTTTCAGTTGTTTAGCCATCAGCAGTCTCTTCCTGTGGACAATCTGAACAACTGGTCTAGACTAGCAGGGATTGTGCCAAGAGAGGGGGCCCTGACCAGAGCAGGCTGCTGTCTGTACAATTCATCCACCTCATACCTTGCTCCCAAATTGTTTTTGTGAAAGTAATGCTGCTAAACATTTTGAATAGATGCTTATTTTAGCTGGGAAAAAGTGCCTCTAAAAGGAAGATGAGATGCATGGTTTAATTCCAGAATAAATGTAATGTCTTTTTAAGCTTATCTAGACTAGGAGGCTATAATTTCTTTACATGTTTGTTAAATTACTTAAACCCTATATGTCAAGCTTATGGATAAAAGTTTGCAGTGCAAATCTAATTGATTTTAATTCTTCCTCTAGGGTGACCTTCATAGAAACTCCTAAAGAACTCAAAATAAGTGCAATAAGTTGTTCTGATAAAGTAAAATGGATCCTTGTTCAGTTGGAGTTCAGCTTCAAGCTACCAATGAGTGCCATAAGACCTATTACACCCGTCACACTGGCTTCAAGACTAAACAAGATGTATCCTCATCTGACCTGCTGTTGCTCCAGCTTAGGACTGGAATAACCCTTTCAGAGAACAACACGATCTGCTTCCACCATGCGAAAATTTACATTGAGAGATTCGAAGACTTGCAGAAATCATGTTGTGACCCCTTCAACATACACAGAAAACTGTCCAAGAAAAACTTACGAGCCATCGATATGGATGATGCAGCTTTTCTCAGTGCCAAGTTTGGGAGGCAGTTTGTACCTGGTTGGAAGTTGTGTCCCAAATGTATGCAGATAATAAATGGAAGCGTGGATGTTGAACCCGAAGAGCGACAAAGAAGAAAACTTGATCCAGACGTACGTATGTGGATCAGTTTTCCCACCCCCCCCTAAGTCCTGCAAGCTGTTGGAATTGGGCTTTGTACAACTACTACATAAAAAATTAATTTTTTTATGATAGAAATAAGAAAGGATGTAGTCTTTTAGATATGGGGGAGTTTACTGTATTTAAACCTTTATTTGGAGGACCTTAAAAGTCCTCTTCTCTAATTAAATATTATGGCCTTTAAAAATCTGAAAAATTTTGTTTACTAGTGTGACTTACAACTCATAAGTTCATGTAAATACCAGACTGCTTCTGGTATTTTAAGCTGTTCTTCAAGTCTTGCAAACAACAAACTGAACACTGCAAAAGTTGTTTCTAGGGATGTCTCTTCAGTTGAAAAAAAAAAAAAAAAAAAAAAAAAAAAGGGCAATTTTTTCTAGCAGTTCATTACCAAATGAGCCTGCATTGAGGTGAATTAAGTGTACTCTGGTTGTGGTGTCTGGGCTGTGAAGGCCACGGTGTTTGGTCAGGGGCAGTAATGAACTGGTGTGGGAGGATAGTGCTGAGCTCAGAATACAGCTGGTGCATTGCTGTACACAGATCATCAGGAGCAGGGGCAACCATACCAAAGAGCTCCTCCACACATGCCCTGAGCAGAGCAGAACTGCACTGTAGGAACTGTTGCACAGCTGTATTTTTCAGTTACGTGTCAGTATGATTAGGAGGCTGATAGGAGTGAAATTTGAAAGCATTGATTAGAACTGCTACTACAAAGCTTGTATTGCTGAGTTCTGAGACCGGTATAGTTCTCTAGCATAAATATTTTAAGACTTAAGAGTCCTAGGTCAAGAATTCACCTGGGTTATTACAATATCATGGCTTGACTGGACATTTTCTTAAGAATGTAGATTTGTATTTATAATTAAAGGCCATTTTCTGTCTTTCCTCAGGGACGTACAGCCAAGGCTTTAAAGTCTCTGCAGTTTGCTAATCCAGGGCGACAGACTGAGTTCACTCCTGAGACCAGTAAGAGGGAAAAAAGAAGGCTGCAATCAAAAATTGCAGCATTTAATTCAGACAGGTAATCTGTTTGCTGTATTTACATTATCTTTCATTTCAGAATAAAGTATCCTCTATGGTCAGTGTCTCTGTAGCATTCAACATTATCTTTGTGGGTCTTTGTGTGTTTATGGGTTGCTAAAGCTCACTCTCATTCTTG